ATATTGTAGCGTATTTAGTAAAAAACTTGATACTTATTGATGATTTTATAAAAGTTTGCTATTGACGAAAATTAGCTGCACCGAATTAGGCATATCTACCTTATATATGTTAATAAATAAAGTATTTAAATAAGTAACTCATAAACAGATTACAAATATATTAGTATAATATAGAACTAATAGAATGATTTAATATCTATATAGCAAACTATCTAAAATAAATAATGACTAAAGTTGTATATATAGCTTATTATATACTCTTTATATAATTTAAACAGTAGGAATTATTAATATATAATCCTGTTTGCAACTTGAATAAAATTTATTTATTATTTATAAAACTTTAATATATTATAGTCAAATCTCTTTTAATACTATAAAGAATTAGAATTTTAAAATTAATATTAATTCAATATAAAGTATATAAATTAGTAATTTATCAAACCTTTTTTTTCTTCAGAACTATTGATTTTGTTATAGAATTAGCTATATTAACTTACTAACTATTCATAAAAAATTCAATGAATGCTAGTGACTCTAAACTATCAATAAAAAGACTTGATAACTCACATTTTATATCTAAATATTCTGCTAAATAAATATCATATATTTCTACTAAAAATTCTTGATCTAAATTACTATTAAATAATAATTCATCACTACTATTTTCAATACAATTCTCATAATTAATTTCTTTAATCTACTGAGAAATAATTGTATTCTATTGATTTTCACTTTTTTCAGTATTTAGTTCCATTATCTCATTATTATCATTATTTTCTATATCATTATTATCACTTACTACTAAATTCTTTTTATTATTAGTTTGAAAATCTTTGGTAGATTCATTTTCAGAGTCACTAGTATTATTATTAATAATTGGAGTTAAAATATAAAGTCTTTTTATTTGTTGATCAAATTGAATAACTTTTTTAACTTGATATTGATATGAAATTTCACTTCGAATTTGGCTTATTTCAAGAATTTTAGTAGGCTAAAAAAAAACAATTTAAGTGAAAATTTATTTAAAACATATAAAAATTTTTTCTGAAAATGATTATATGATATATAGTAATTAGTAATTACTATATATTATATAGTAATTACTAATTACTGTATATCATATAGACACTTTTAAGACAAACTCCTATATATATATATAATACAAACTAATAAATAGTTTTATTTAATAGTATGAAAAAACTTCATCGAAGACTACAAATATTCAATTGAAGCAGAATTTACACAAATTTTATAAATATGAATAGCAATTTTAGCTAGCTCTGGTTTAATTCCTATTATTAATTTCTAAAAATCTAAAATATTTCTTTGAAACTGCAAAAAAAAATTATTATCATATGGATTATTACCTTTTTTATAACTAATTAGTTCTGCTAAAATTTTTTTAGCTAGAGTTCCAAAAAAAGCAAAATAATAGTATTTTAACTATTAGCCTATATATGTTCATGTTAAATTATTTACAGTTGATCTAAATTTTAATAATTTGTATAATAAATAAAGAATAATTAAAAGTAATAAAAGAGGCTGTTTCTACTTTTTTCATCTTTTTTCTATTCTTGAAACTATTTTTTTGGCAAAATCAAAGTTATGATACTCTAAAAAAATTTTTGTAGCATATGCAAAACAATGTACTATTTCATAAATCTATGCAATATCTTTTTGTAATTGATTAAGAAACTTATATAAAGGGTATAATAAATTTTGTAAAGAAAAAAATACTATTCAAAACTCAAAATCATTAATACTATCTGCAATTTTATTATATAGTTTGTATTCTCTGTTACTTTTTTTAGATTGTTTATCAACTGGAATATTAGAAATACTATTAGTACAAATTACATTCACATATTCTGAATTAAACTATACAGATAAAAACTATATTTATAAATTATAAGAAATTATTCATAGAAATTTATAAGGTCTTTGTTCTAAAAATAACTTTATAGTAGTGTCATAATGATATTGCTATTAAGTCATTTTTAAAATAAAGACCTTATATTGAGTTTATAAGTTAGATTTTAAAGATATTTGAGTTGTGAGAAGTTATATAATTCTTGAGAAATTATAGTATTTTTAACAAAAGTACAGAG